AATATTTAAAATTTTATTAAAAATTTTAAAATATGCAGGCAAATTTGCCTGTGTTACAATCTAAGGGATAAAAAAAAACAAAAAATTATAATCTGCAAATTTTATTGGTTAATTTTGAAATAAGACAATAAGTAAAAATTATATACAGTAAGCTTATTAATTAAAATTAAATAATAATCTTAAATATTATTTAATATAATAGTATATTAATACTATATATGTTGTAAGTAGAAACGCGATTTAAATGAACATTTTAGAAGAGTTTGTTATATACAACAAACCCACGCAATAATGCAAAATCTCGAAATTTCAAATTCACTTAAATTTCATTCTCACACATATACAATTAATTTAAATGTCAAGTAAAAAATCTAAACAGTATAAACGCCAAAAATTTTGTCGACCACAAAACCTTTATTCAAAAAAGCTCAATTTTTTTTTGTAAAATTCTGCATATAATGCAAGTTAAAATTTTTGCCAAAAAGCATAATGTTAAGGTTAAAAATAAAAAATTTGCTAATAATAATAATGCTAATATGAATATGAAGCTTAACGTGTTTATCTTTTTTTGAATTTTTTAATTTCTAATTACATAATTTATACAGTTTTAAAAATGATAAATATAAAAATGTTCTCGATAAGTTTAAATGTATATACTATCGGCAAATAATAATAATAATACAATTTTTTGTTATTAGATGCCTTAAAAAGAAAAAAAAACATCACTATATTATTAATGTTACTTAGTTCTATCTTTTACTCTTTCGATAGTTGCTTGTATTTCCAAAATATCAGCAATTATTCCTTCTATCTGCTTTTTTTTCGAAAGCCCACCTACTTCAAAAAACAGACGCAATAACGCTAACCGAATATAAGAATCGGATAATCTATCAGCAGGGTGTCCGGCTCCCACTTCCCAATGTTTAAGATCGTTCATACAAAATTTCATATGTGCCCAAAGAGTTGACCAATGATGAGGTTTTTCATCACGAGAAGGTTCCATTATTTGACTATATATTGCACGTTTAAGTTGGTCAAGACATTCTTGAACTTGACGAGAATTCTGATCACAAACTAAAGAAGTAGATAGTTTTATTGCTTTTTGAATCGGTGGAAAGTCTTTGAAATTGTCTATTGATCTATTAGAAGACATATTTTTCCTCGTTTTGCAAAATTTAAAATTGGGGTAGTTGGAAAAGATGTAAAGAATGAAAAAGGAGAGAAAAAGGAAGGATACAGTTACGAGGAGAAGTACTAATAACGTATTCTTATAAAACGAAGAGGTTTATAAATTGTGTATGAACGTACATTTAGGTAAATATTTTTTTTATCCCATACTCAAGTCATACCTAAATAAAAAGGTGAAATTTTATTGGTATGGGAAGAAAGTCTTACCAAACTCAACATTTTAATGTAACTAAGGATAACAAATTAAAACAATATATAACGTAAGATTATTATCTGCAAAGCTTTAATATTGTCATAAGGTTGGTACGATATGATATGCCGCAAAGACTTTTGCTGCTAAAATACTATTTTGAGAACCATACAACAATACGTATGCAAACAAACCGGTTAAAAGATTAAATAGTATGCAAGGAACGGTTCAATGAGAAGCTTTGCATTTCAAATATTGCAAAAGTCCGATAAAGTTCTGCCAGGGTGCTAATCTTAGGTAGTCATAATCTCATAATCCATAAATATATACTTTTAATTGAGTACGTATGTTGGATGCATAATTTTTCATATATACATTCTATAAAAGTTTTATAAAAGTCGATCCGAATGAAAACGCGGCTTCTAGGCGCACATCATATATGCGGTGGAAACCACGAGCATCCAAATTACGTAGATGATTTACAATAGAAAAATACAAGTTAATACAAGTGATAAAATTCAAAATGAAAAGCATGATTCTCCAATGACAGTATGTTTTAAATTATAAAAAATATTCATCTTATTTTTTATATGCATTAATTAAAGTTCTCTGTTATCTTATTTTTTATTACGTAGCCATAACTCGTCTAGTGTTACCGAAAATCGATAACACAAAGTCGGATTGTTCATTTTTGATTAACGTTAATGGAAAATCGTACGTACGTACGTACAATATCAGATATCGATATGGCAAGTAGTTGCTACGTACAATTAGTAATCTTATTTTTATGTTACCACGTGACGATCACGTGACAACTGACGGGTCCGATCTCAAGAACTATTTAGCTGGTCTTATTTATAAGTAATAGTTATATCCTAGACAGTTGGGTATAGTCGGAAATTTCATTTTCGCTTATACACAGTGTCCAGGGTATAACTGATTTATACCCTGCGATCTTGATATAGTGACCAGAGTATAATAATAATAATAATAATATAAATCAAGATACGTAAGCACAAAATACGTACGTCATTCAAACGGTTCGTTCTTTTAACAATATAATTTTTTAGATCAAATTTGGGGACAATGACAAAGTTTAGTGGTATAAACTCTCATTTGTCGGTCATGGACACGAACGACCAAATAAGATACTAATATAACAATGAAGTTATAAAGCAAATCTTTATTTTTAAATTTTGAATTCATTAATGAAATTATCAATAAAAAAAAAACTCATATGAGCTTGAACAGAGTTGGTAAATCAGACATTTTATCCTTAAGGGTTCTTCATCGTCTCCGTTGAACTCTAATAATCATGGATATTTTTATTTTTTTGTAGCCAATACAAGTCTACATCAAATAATTTGACAATTGTGGAAATGGTTGCGTATACTAAATCTACGACGCTATTATGCCCAATTCGAGAAAGTAGCATAAAAGTTATAGGTTATAAATGCGTATCGGTATAAATGAGTCACGGAAATTCCTACCAATTTAATGAACTGATAGCTTCTTTCACTTTCACAAAACTCAAATTCTTCAGTTTCTTTTTGTTCTTAAAATATGGTTGATACACAACAAGACTTGATATACATTAACGAAGTACTGACCTCTTCCGAGATCAGTTCTTTGCTATCTCACCCACCATACCAACTGACGCTCACGGTAGAAGAATTGACAAAAGCACCATCTATGAAAAATAATAAATCTAAATATGGCCATTAAAGATAAAATTTCTGATTTACAAACTCTGTTCAAGCTCATATGAG